TCTCTCTCTCTCTCTCTCTCTCTCTCTCTCTCTCTCTCTCTCTCTCTCGTCTTTCTCTCTTAATTGAGGGTTAAATCTCTGCCAATATTTTATTCATAAACTCATTCATACGCTTATATCTCACGAAAATATCGTTGATTTTAATTCATTAAAAATAATTTATATGATTTTTATGTACATTTCATAGAGAAGAGTGGGGGTGGGGTTGAGAGGGGGCAGAACTCGATGAAATTAACTGATCTGACTTAAAATAGAGAGACATATTATCACGTTTAAGCGGCAAATAAACCACGAGCTTATATTTCAGACTTAAACATGATCCAAAAAGTTTTAAATTCATTCTACAATTGAGTCTCCCATTCGTATCAATAGTTTTCCATACATTTAACACTCAAATAGACGAATGCCTTCAATATATGACATTATAAGATATAAATAGACATTACATTACATTTATTCAAATGATTTATACTCGCAATTAAAAATCTCGTTGAAATCGCTTGTGGCTCAACACCGCCCACACATATACATACTGTATAGTAGATTAGTCTACTTTCGGGCGACTGTCCTCCCGGTGTCTTATTTTACGTGTCTATTCCTATATTGGCGTTCAGTTTAGTAACACTTAACACATTTAAAAATGCTTTTAAATTAATATTCATTGAAATACATTTGCCATTCATTTTGTTGTTTTCCGATTGATATCGGGATTGAGATACTGTTAAACACTATGTTTTGTTTGTTTCCGTCCCGTAATTAACCGCTTGTTTTAAATAATTGTTACGAGACTTAAACCGAGTATTTGTTCACAAAAAACTATACGTAAAAACATATTCAAAGATCTGTTATTTAATTTTAAAAATATAAGTTTTAATCAGAAATGCAAACAAAATAGTTATTTATATTTGTATTTCATTTTTATATATACACCGAAAATGAGAGTTATATTTGAAATTCATATTTTATAGACATTTTAAAACATTAAAACAATATTTTTTAATCATAACTTAAAGTGATTAACAAAATATTTATATAAATAATTTATATAATTAACTATATTATTGTATAAACATTTCGTAAAATATATATATATTTAATTAATTTAATTGTTTGTAATACGCTTTGAAACTATAATTAAATCAATGGTTTTGTTTTGTAAATCATAGGAATTTAAATACAATTATAATAAAACACTTTTGATTCAATAGCTTCTGTAATAATAGTAATTATTATTATTGAAAACAATTATTACATTAAACTTGTCTTCAAATTAGAGTAAAAATAGGGAACAATTCATAAATCGTTTACAAAAAAAATAATTATTAAATTAAATAAGAGATAATAATCTATAAATTGTACTTAAATTGTATATCAATTTCATTCAAATCAAAGACTTGTGATTAGATTTTGTTTTGCATTTAAATAGTGTTAACAATTGAGTTAACATATGATATGTCGTAATAGTGTGAGTGTCAGCGCACGGGTAATGCAGACACTAAACCAGCACTCAATGCATTCCGTCATCGGATGTGCGCTTAAAGATGGCCTCGATTTCGGCCAAAGACTTGCCTTTGGTCTCCGGCAACAGCGCCGCCACAAACACAGCGCACGTGAAGCACAGCACCGAAAACAGTAGATAAGTGCCACTCTCTTGCATCGTATCCAAGAGTGTGTGGAACAGTTTGGTGATGAGGAACGCGAACAACCAGTTGGCGGCGGAGCACAGCCCGGAGGCCACGTTGCGGACGTGTGCGGGCAGTAGTTCGCCCATCAGTAGCCACGGAATGGGTCCCAAACCCAGCGAAAAGGTCACCATAAAGCTGATGAGCGCCACCACTGGAATCCAACTGAACTCCTGCTGGAAGTGCTGCCCTTTGGCGTCGGCCACGAAGTGAAACACAGACAGTGAGAGTACGGATAGTCCGCAACCGATTGACGAAACAATGAGAAGCGGTTTACGACCCGCTCTGTCTGTCAGTAGACACGCCGTCACTGCGGCCAACACTTGCACTGCGCCCACGATTATAGTGGCGTCCGTCGGCGCTAACGAATGGGAACCGCTTTTGCCAAAGATGTCGGTCGTGAAGAACAGCAGCGCATTCACTCCCGATGTCTGCTGGAAGAGCATCAGCGCCAGTGTCAGCAACAGTGGCCTCAAGACGTGCCGCTGAGACAACTCAACGATCCGTACGCTGCGCTCCGGCGAACCCGTCGACGACAGGACAGTACCGCCGATGGACTGCTCGATGACAGTGTGTTGAGTGACATCGAGGCCGTGGAGGAAGACGTTGGCTTCGGTGGCCTCCAGTATACGTCCCCTACGGATCAACCAATACGGTGTCTCCGGCATGAGACACATGCACATGAGTAACAGCACCGGGAATACGGCGCTCAACACTGCGAGATAAGCCCACGACAGGTATTTACCGGCGATGAACGACACGAGCACTCCCGTAGAGATGGACAGCTGAAAGCCGGAGCCCAAGAACCCACGCATAGCCGGTGCGGCCGTTTCGGCGATATAGACGGGTGCGGCCAACGACACGAGTCCGCAACAGAAGCCAGTGATGAAACGGCCGATCAGTAGACTCGTGGAGGACTCCCAATGGCCCGCGTATGCCATCAGAAGCCACCCGAAGACAAACGGCACGGATGTGACGATGAGTGTGCCCTTACGGCCGATGCGTTCAATCGATGAGCCTATGGATCAGATTGAGTGATGGTTAAGACAGCGAATGGCTAGTGATTAAGAGATGGCTTAAAATACCGGCGCAAATGCTGCCGAAGACGGCGCCCAACGCCATAAGACTTCCCAACCACGACAGCTGATCGGTGGTGAGCGGGACGTGACTGCCCTCCGACTGAAGACTCGGTCCAGCGTTGGCCGTATAGCCCACGACTGTTCCCAACGCCAGTGACCCGAACCACGAGCTGACAGCAGCCGCCATATACTTCGGCCATCGGCCCCAACGCGACGACTCCTCGATCAACAGCGATGTGTCCGCCATTACGGAGGGATCCGTTTCGGTGATGTCTGGATGTCTTCGGGCGATGAGTTGTTAGTGTCTATAATGCGATCACTTGTGTTGTGTTGACGTATTGAGCGTACGATGGGATCAATTGGTCAATACATGACTGTATCAATCGGTGGTGAGATTCACAGTGAGACACAAAGTGGTGGTAATCGTGTGGTATCGTTGGACGTGTGGATCAGTTTGGGTGATCTCCAAGAAAACTATTGTTTCGATAAATACGACACAAAATAGTTGTAAATGTAATGAAAAGTGAGTTTTTGTTGTGTTTTTGATTCAATAGTAAACACCTATTCATACGTCACGTCAAGGGCTATGAAATGCACACAACTTTTGGTTTAAATAACGTACACTTTTTTGTCGCTCAAATGATGTTGAGATGATTGTTGGTAACAATGTTGGTAACTTTTATAAGTTTAGTTAAACATGGTCATATACTCTAATGATCATGTTGGTTTAGTAACCATGTTGAAATATATGGTATTATGTGAATTAGTAGTTTATTATTGATGTTAGTTATAATGACAACATGATTGACCATGTTCATTAGTAATGAATCATTACATATTGCGTATAATTATCAATATTATTTATCACCATGATGAGATACACCTGTTCATACCATGTTATGCCATATATATGTAACATTAAACATGATTAGTTTGCATGAGTTCTAGATTTTTATTGTATAACAAGTTTATTGGGAAATAGTTTTGTTTGATATAAACTTTACAGTTATATTATTATATCATAAAGTGTTACGTTATAATAAAATAGTTATAATTTACAATTACAAATGCATTAATGAATAATCATTTATACATCAATTGTATTAAAACTATCGCCAAAACAGATAAAACTTTTTTTCGTCCATTCATTAGATATTTAAAATTATAAATAATTAGTATTTATTATATTTTAAATTTGTTTTAGATTTTTAACTCTAAATCAAATCACGAGTTAATAGAGTATTTAAAATGAGTTTATTTTTGTAAAATTTCTTTAATGAACTCACGATATTTTTTGCCCAAACATTTGTGAATTAAATGATTTTATTAATGGTTTAAATATATATTCAATTATATTTCTGACATTTAATTGTTTAATATTTGAATTAAAAGTAAATTCAAATTAGGTTTTGGTTGATATTTATTCGTTAAAACATTTCATAAAAAGTATTGGACATTAAGTGATGAATCGATTTTGTAAAGGGTTTCCGAAGTTATGCCAAAAGAATCACAAAAATTACAAAACAGTAATCAATTGAATGTATGATTAAAACAGTTATTTAATTGTATTTCCCGTTAAATATAGTCTAAAAACTATCCGAAAGACTCTTTCGATAGATTCGGTGATGATTTGTCCCGACTTTTATTGTCTTACCATTCATTCGACGATCAAATCAATACAATTACTAATATGTGTCGACACGAATGTGTGTCCAAACAGTTCCAGAATTTAATTTTCGACTTAATTAGTAATATCTCTGTCGAAGAAAAAGTAATCATTAAATTCAGAGCCAAAGAGAGTGCAAACAAACGTCTTTCGGACGAAGAATTGTGTCAAAAATTGATTGCATTTTTTCAGAAGAAGTGCCCAAATATTCAAAGAGTAATCTATGACTTTCACCACTGGAATGACATAACACCGTATATGAGACCACTGTTTGAAGCCATCGATCACTTGCGGAACAGTTGGCCGTATCTCAAGAATATTGACTTCCATTCTTACTTAAATGATAACGAGTCAAACCATCAGATTCTTCACTATATGTTCACCACATTTGGTCCAATTGTTACTAAATTTAAGTTCACTTTTGATTACTTATTGCCATATCTGACCCATTGTCCAAATTTGTGTCAATTATCTACTCTTGACTTTAAATCCATGTTTACCACCGAAGGAGACAATCAATTATTAGAATTCAATCGATTGAAATCAATTGATATCATTTGGAGAGACAATGATTTTAATGCCCAAAGATTTCAAACATTTATTGATTACTATAAGACACGTCTTCGATGTCTTGTTGTTCAGAATATCGACCCATCGATTGAATGTCAATCAATGGTCACTCAATTCATTACAAAATTGACTGAATTTCAAGTATTAAATGAATTAAGACTAGACTTTAAAGAATTTGAAGAACCGCTTCAGTATTCACTCTATGATAGTCTTAAGACAATTGGCATAAAGTGTGCAAAACTTAAGAAATTTTCAATATATGTTGATTCAAACAACAGAGCATTTCTGGTTGAGATCGTGAATACCATTCAATACATGCGACGATTAAAACGTCTCGATTTATGGCTACAATCTTCTAATAATCCGCAAGAAGTGATCACCGATTGGACTCAATTGCAAGCATTGAATGGTTGGCCACAATTGACACACTTATGGCTCCATTTGTGGGCATTCCCACAAGAAATGATTGAACAGATTGTGTCCAAACAATACAAACTACAGACACTAGCCATCACTCGATGGGAAATTAAAATTGACCAATTGTTGGCCTGTATGTCGAGACTATCACCACTGGAATCGCTTCATATTTCATATACACCGAAGTCTGGATTTAAAAGATCTGATTTAAAGCAATTGATAGACAAATATCCAAACTTAAAGACTCTTCTGATCGATAGACACGTATATCGTATCAGTCATTACTATAGCAATGGTTTCCGTGTTATAACTCATATCAAATAAAGTCCAGAATTTAGTTTTTATTTATATAAGATTTTCAATTTTGTAATTATTCAATACATTTATTTCAATAAAAATTGTTTAATGTTTAAAATTTATGTTACATTTCCTTACAAAGTTAAGTGAAATTTTAGTTTTAAAATCATGCAAATTATAAAGTTTTAGATTAAAATAAAGGTTTTCATTATATCAACAATTTATAGAAAATTAAAAGTTTTAGTCGTTTAGAAGACTAACAAATGAATAGTCGACGATCTGGTCTTCGAGGCCATCGATCTGGTCATCAGTGTCTTCATCAACGGTGGTCTTACCACGAGTTGTCTTATATTTATACGATTGTCTCAAATAGTGGTTAACTTTTGTATAATTAAGCGCTGCTCTCTTATAAGTGGTTGAAATTATTTTGATTACAATTAAAAATGTGATCAAAACAATGGTAAACATAATGAACAGCACTTTCACACCGATTGGCAAACTGTTGTAACCATCGATGACTCGACTCATCATATCATATAAGGTTTCGAAGATATTCAACAAATCGGTCCAAAATATGCGATAAAAGTGCTGAAACTCTTTGTCGACTTCTTCCTCGGGCTTTGAAACCATTTCACGTATTTCTTGAGTGAATTTATTGGTCACTTCATATAAAGTGATGTTATTGCAAGAGTAGATCCCTTCGTCTCTTTTGCCGATTAAATCCCATATCAGTAACGAAGAAACGAGTTTATTGTCTTTCTCTTTGATCTCGAAATACATATAATTTGAGTCAAACGCCAATTCCTGTCCGTCTTTCAGCCAAAACATAGTATTATTTTTGGATAAATCACATTCAAGTGTTATATTATCAGTATTTTCATCGATTTTAATTGTATTTCCAATTGACTTATGTATGAATTGTATTAAAACTATCGCCAAAACAGATCTAAACATTTTTGCAGACTTTAAATATTTAAAGTGTTGTCAATTAGTATCTATTAATTTTAAATTGTTTTATAAAACAATTAAATTTTTAATTCAAATTATATCACGAGTTAATAGAGTTTTACAATATTGTTGAAAAAATAATGTGTGTAAAAATAATTTGAAAATAATAAAGTAGTGATCAAATGAAACTCTTTAGACACAGGGGTATAGTTGTAAGACATGTTTAGGGGGGCTTTAAAGGGGCTGTGATGGGCTTTTGATTAAAACTTTTATAATTCATTAAATTGTTGTTTTGTGCCATAAATTGTTGCCCAAAAACATATGAGAGATATTTATTTAGTGGCGAAACCAAAAATCAATTAATGAAATGTTTTGAGAGTAAACACCAGATCTTAATGATTGAAAACATTGCCTAATATATCATAAAATTGTAGTTTTTTGGATCAGTTCCAGACATTCACTTCCCTATTCATTGACACCACAGTCTCTCTCAATGAAAACTGTCTCAACATTTAAGACACAGAAAAAATGATTTAGACATTAAATTAATTGAATTATAAAACATTTGCACAAAACTTTAAAAATTTTCATTAATCAAAGGGTTACTGAATTATAAATCATTTTTGCTTTAATAGTATTGAATACTATTGAGAGGACAGAAATTGCAATCATTGCCGTCTGGATGTGGAGGGAGAGAGTGAGTGAGAGGTATGTCAGACAAAATCAAGAGTTGGTTCAGGAAAACTAAATTTAGACTATATTTCCATTGCCTATCAGTGCTGTGCCATATGTGGAGAGAGTAATGTTTATAACACGAGAGAGAGAGAGAGAGAGAGAGAGAAGTTTTGTGCAAATGTTTTATAGTTTAATTAATTTAATGTCTAAACAATTTTTTCCTGTATCTTAAATGTTGAGACAGTTTTCATTGAGAGAGAGAGAGAGAGAGAGAGAGAGCTGAATAGGATTGAAATAAACAATTTTGTAAGAAATAAGAAAAATCTTACCACAAGATTAAACACATTGCTCTTTAAGAGAGAGGCACACCCTGTATACCAGTGCTAAAAGGGACGGCAACTTTAGCACACATATTGAGATACTGTCTAAATGGCAGATATTTCTGGTGTATAACTGTTTGTTAACTGAAAAATAAATAGCAAAAAGTAAAACACAAATAAGTTTTTTCATAGCGTTTTATCGCAAGAATCCGTGTCCTTATGTATTGATTAAAACATTTGACTAAACCATTACTTATAGCGAAAAGTGTTGTAAATATATGTAACAATTCATACATATATTTAGTGTAGGAATTGATTTGTGAATACAATTTGTTCACCAAATATAATAAAAGCCATGAATTCCGTACACTATATATGTTTAATAGTGTTTGCATTGATTCCCATAATATTTAGTGAAGTAAATGTGGAGAAATGTAACGACAAATGCGAACTCGATAAGTGTCCACCACCTGAGGACTGTCTGGCTGGTGTGATCAAGGTGAGCTAGTAATACCATGATAGTTTTAAAACTCTAAAACAAATGTATACAATGTAGCTATGATTTTATGCAAAAATTTAACTTTATCAAAATATTCTTTGAGATCTCCATTTAATGAATTATTATTTGAATGTAAAATACAACTGTTTTATTGCCTTTTGTGTCCATTGATGGTAAGGATCGTTGTAACTGTTGTTCAATTTGTGGTCAAAAAGACGGCGAAAGATGTTTTAATGAGACGCTGAGGAAGAAGTTGTCGCGAAGTTATGAAATATATAACGATTGCGGGGAGTGTTTGGTCTGCAAAATGCGTACAGATATGGAGGCATCGGATCCGCCCGAAGCCGTCTGTTATTGTCTCAAAAGTGAGCCCATCTGTGGATCCGATGGCCAGACGTATGAGAATGAGTGCAAACTCACTGAAGAGCGGTATAAACACCGCAATGGTTTAGTGGCGGCCAGTCGTGGCCCCTGTACTACAGGTTAGGTCTACGCAAACAAACGCCTATTAAATGAATTCAAATAATTAAACAAAACTTTTGGCGCCATTAGTGCCAAAGATTGTCTCTCCGCCCGAAGACATAGTGAACAAAACGGGCAGTTATGTTGCGTTCGCGTGTGAGGCCAAGGGCTGGCCGGTGCCCGTCATTGAATGGCAAGTGCAACGAGACTCAGACATTAAGGCACTGCCCAGCGATGACCCGCATATAGCCGTACAGTCGAGGGGCGGCCCCAGTAGTTATGAGGTGACGGGTTGGCTACAGTTGCTGGACATCTCTACTGCAGATCAGGGAACTTACTATTGCGTGGCCAAGAACTCGGAGGGCGAGTCCAAACTCGGCGCCAAACTAGTGGTCAGCGATGGTCGCCATCGGAAGCACGGATTTGCCGAAGAAAATGAGATTTAAGCCCAAATTTTATCGCAATTTTTGTATATTTTGTTTTCTTAAACATAAGTTTAAATTAATTAATTAATTATCTCCTCATATCTATATACAGCATATAAGCCCCCGATGTTTATACGCCATATCTCTATATTTAACTTATATTGTAATGTAATTTAATTTTAAACTTAATTTACAAAATTGGAATATAATTTCCAACTTTTAGTTTAGGTATCGATTTTTATATTCAATCACGAAATATAAAAATGCAATTCAAATGTGCCTTATATTGAATATACTGTTATATGTGTTAATTGTGTACACATACAGTTCCCCTCCCGAGTGTTAGCAATCAAACTATCATTTAACTAGTATTCAAACTCTAAGACCCCTCCCTTCCCAATACCCCACTCCAGAGCCGTTGTTCAAAATGTATTGTATTTAAAAAGCAATTTCACTGTAATTAACGTCTGAATAAACAGTTAAAACTTTTCCCAACGAAACAAAACATTTACTTCAAAACACAAATTAATTTCAATCAAATCAAATGAAACCAAATATTTAATAATTAAATACAATTATATTTATTTGAAAAATGCAAAAGAGAGGCAAAAATCATATGAAATATTTGGTACAAAATTTAAATAAAGTTTTTAATGAATTAAAAGTGATATAATAGTCAGAAAACAGACGCAAAAACATTAAACAATTTATTTTTCTCATCAAATGGTTATATACTGTCGAATGAATTGTAAGGAAAATTGACCCCCAATTAGGAGGGGTTTGTCAGGGGTCGGGAACAGCACTCCAAATACTGGTAGCAAAGGGTACAGATTTATTGTCACAAAAAATAAGGTTAATTTAATTGGGATTTTCATTTTTTTAAAATCTCAACAAAACAATCAATCATTGAATCGTAAACATCACTCAATAGAGACGGGCTTTATGTCTGTGTGGGCACAGCGTAGGGACAGCCGACAAATTGGTCGGCAATGCGGGCCGACTCCCGGAGCCCCGATAGGAGAGCGCCGTGAACTGTGGCCGGATAGTTGCGTATCGTGTGTTCGCCCGCGAAGAACAGCCGTGGAATCGATGCCGTCTGACCGGCGGTGGCCGTCGCCGCTGACGGTGACGACGATTGACTGGTGGTCACCGATTGGGGCGACTGAACGGCCACCGGCGCTGAGAGGGCGTCGTAATCGTTACCCGACGATCCGGTGGCGACGAAAGAGTACGAACCCTTAGACCAGGGGTCGCCCCGCCATCGGGTGACCACTGTGTCCTTTGGATTCGGTACGGCTGTCGTGCCGAAGATCGACCGCAAGTGACACTCTGTCGCCGACTATTACTACAGCAGGCTCTGCAAGAGGTATTACGGTCGCCGGAGAGGCCGGTGCTCACGGTAGTTGTGTCCGCGGGCTATCTCCGAGGTCTTGTCCTTGTCAAGCGGGGGGGAGGCAGTGGTGGAGCCCACGTGTCCGAACAGATTCGAGTCCTGGTCCCAGAAGATACGGTCGAAACACAGAACCACTTTATTCAGGTTACCGAAGCCGAGCCGTTGAATTGAGGCCACTTTCCACTCCGGGAGCGGTGGTATGAATTGGACGACATTACCGCTGGTGCCCACGTTGTTGGGCTGTACGGCCTGTTTGAGTACACCCAGTGGTAAAGTGCAGAGCACGGCATCGCCACGATGTGTGATCAGTGGATTGGCCAGCGATGTGCTCGAGTTGGCTGTACTGAGCCGTGGGTTATAAGAGCACACTTCCACACCGTTGGGCGTTATTCGTATGGATCGCACCGCCGTATTGAGCCGTATGTCAAGACCCTCGGCCAGAGCCACGGGTACGCAAGAGTAGCCGTTGAGAACCGTGAGGTGACTGCCGGAGAACTCGAAGTCGTCGTCTTGATCCCAGTGTTTGAGCGACAAGTTGTTGAGTGGTGTGGCGTTTGCGAACTCCAGGTTCGCGAAGTGCCAGTCGAGCACTTGTCGGTCCCGAGAGGACAGGTATACGTCGGATGGCGGCGACGCTTCCAACTCCTGGAGCTTCTCCTCGATCTCCTTCTGTTCTTCCATGTGTTGATCCCATTGACGACACGCGGCGTTCAGATCTCGAGCCGTCGAGCGGAGGACAAACTCTTTTGTAATGTCGGGCTTTTGGCCGCGCGTTTCGGTCAACTCTTTGTGCTTTTTGGACAGCTTTTCAATATTCTCTTTCAATATCAGCATTCGGTTCAGATTCGACTTCAACTTCTCCTGAAGATCGCTGATTGCCTTCCAGTGTTGGATCTGTTTCTCTTTCACCGACTTCTCCTGCAATTGTATCACCCATTCGAGCGCCTGTCCGAGCGATACGGACCGGCCGTTCAGACTATTGAAGTCCAGAGTGTGCGACAGATAACTGGTGGCCTCCAGGAGTCGGTTGAACTCGCGCTCCACCATCTCGTCCTTGTCTTTGGGAACAGTATTGCCGTTGGACTCATAGAGCGGACACTTTTGCTTGATTTTATGCAATTGCATATTAATCTGTTTGCTTATAATGGCCACCGGATTGCCGCCCAGACCTGTGACCACTGTTGAGCCCAAATCGGCGATGAAGTTGCCCTTCCGGAAGGTCACGACACGGCCGCCCACGCGATCCCTGGCCTCCAACACCATCACATCCATTCCGAATTGCATCAACTGTTGGGCGGCTATGAGGCCGGCAATACCGGCGCCGATCACAATCACCTTTCCGTGCCGTTTGTGTGGCAACGCTTTCAACCGCTTAAAGACACCGAAATTGATGAATCCCTGGCGCTCGAGGAAGGCGTGCACTCGCATCACAAGCGGACCGTCAGAATTGAACGGCACTTCAATCTGCGGTAGTGTCGACTCGAGCGACAGCTGCAGCTTCGGGTTCTCCATCCATAGCTGAAGTATACGGTTCCGGATGTGGAGGAATATCTTGGCCGATGCCGTACCGCCGGCGGCCACGTCTGGAAACGCCTGCGCCTCCTGTGAGGTCATCTTATCGGCGGGAAGACGCGACTGAAAGGCCGCCCCTTCCAGACCCGTGGGATCCTCTTCGCCATCGCTGCCAACACCGGCGTCCGGATCAGCCGCTGAGGCACTGCCACCGCCGCCACCAGCGGTGGACTCTTGAGACCCGGAATGACCGCCACTACCGCCGCCAGTGTTGTTGTTTTGGTGATGCGAACGACTGGAGGTCTTCATCTGATTCTCATCGTCCGATGGCATGTCTTCATCGGCTGACATCACTAACTGTCTTCAGATCACTCGCTGTCTGCGAATCAGTTACTCTGGCGGTCAGTATTTGACGTAAAATCGCCGATTGTTTTAGTTAAGCGGATCCGGTGTTTGTTGGTCAGGGAACTGGTGCAACACGTGTGTCCTCGAGATTGAGTGTCCTCTACTGTGCCTCTACTGTAGATGTGTTGATCGCCAACAACTCGTGGCCAACAATCGGATCCCAAAAACAAGAGACAATTCAAAGACAATTAACGGCCAGAAGAGAGCAAAACACAAAACCACTCATTCATTGAATGGCTTTTAAATTATACTAAAAGTCGTGTATAAAGTATAGCGAGTTTTAGGCCTATTTCATAGCTATTCAAAGCGTATAAATTCTGCGCTAAAACTATACTATAAAAAGGTATCAAAACATCGGCCGTTAAATACCAGTTATAGTGAATACACGCGTTGTGTGTAGTGTTCGGCCATTTATTCCAGATTGCGGGCATTTGCCATTATTGCGGGCACAATGCCCGTCATTTCTGGCCATATAAAATGCGTGGCCAAAGTGGGCATATGGCCCGGTTTTTTGGCGTTTATGCGCAAACTACAAAATTTATAGATGTGAAACGTACTTCACTTTATACTATTGAACTGTACGAGTGTTTTAAGCCATCATTGATTGTTGTGAGTGTTGTCGTTGGCCGTCAGGAATTTTTTTAATAATTATCCCTATGTGGCCACACAATGCTAAAGCATACCAATATGGCGGCTTTATGTTAAAAGTGTTGTCTCTATAACTGCACCCAACCTGTGAGGCCACCAGCCAATAGGACACCGGACATCACGTTAATCCTTTCATACAGATATAGGTAAAGACAATACCAATGTTTTGTGGAACTATTGGAAACGAGTGGCCGGATAGGGGACCAAAGCAATAGTGAAATGCAATCACTGATAATAGACTCCAAAAGCATGCTATCAAATACCGGCAACACTAATCCAATTGTAGTGCTATTCAATTGTAGTGATACCCTAATGAGAATTCAATGGGCACTCAATTATCAAATCAAAGAACCAATTGTTGAGTTTGAAAGAGAAGATCAAGATTTGATTGTATTAGACCAACCATTAGTGAAGAGGACTAATGGCCGGCGACCCGTTATGGNCTGCCGGAGAACTCGAAGTCGTCGTCTTGATCCCAGTGTTTGAGCGACAAGTTGTTGAGTGGTGTGGCGTTTGCGAACTCCAGGTTCGCGAAGTGCCAGTCGAGCACTTGTCGGTCCCGAGAGGACAGGTATACGTCGGATGGCGGCGACGCTTCCAACTCCTGGAGCTTCTCCTCGATCTCCTTCTGTTCTTCCATGTGTTGATCCCATTGACGACACGCGGCGTTCAGATCTCGAGCCGTCGAGCGGAGGACAAACTCTTTTGTAATGTCGGGCTTTTGGCCGCGCGTTTCGGTCAACTCTTTGTGCTTTTTGGACAGCTTTTCAATATTCTCTTTCAATATCAGCATTCGGTTCAGATTCGACTTCAACTTCTCCTGAAGATCGCTGATTGCCTTCCAGTGTTGGATCTGTTTCTCTTTCACCGACTTCTCCTGCAATTGTATCACCCATTCGAGCGCCTGTCCGAGCGATACGGACCGGCCGTTCAGACTATTGAAGTCCAGAGTGTGCGACAGATAACTGGTGGCCTCCAGGAGTCGGTTGAACTCGCGCTCCACCATCTCGTCCTTGTCTTTGGGAACAGTATTGCCGTTGGACTCATAGAGCGGACACTTTTGCTTGATTTTATGCAATTGCATATTAATCTGTTTGCTTATAATGGCCACCGGATTGCCGCCGAGACCTGTGACCACTGTTGAGCCCAAATCGGCGATGAAGTTGCCCTTCCGGAAGGTCACGACACGGCCGCCCACGCGATCCCTGGCCTCCAACACCATCACATCCATTCCGAATTGCATCAACTGTTGGGCGGCTATGAGGCCGGCAAGCCCAAATCGGCGATGAAGTTGCCCTTCCGGAAGGTCACGACACGGCCGCCCACGCGATCCCTGGCCTCCAACACCATCACATCCATTCCGAATTGCATCAACTGTTGGGCGGCTATGAGGCCGGCAATACCGGCGCCGATCACAATCACCTTTCCGTGCCGTTTGTGTGGCAACGCTTTCAACCGCTTAAAGACACCGAAATTGATGAATCCCTGGCGCTCGAGGAAGGCGTGCACTCGCATCACAAGCGGACCGTCAGAATTGAACGGCACTTCAATCTGCGGTAGTGTCGACTCGAGCGACAGCTGCAGCTTCGGGTTCTCCATCCATAGCTGAAGTATACGGTTCCGGATGTGGAGGAATATCTTGGCCGATGCCGTACCGCCGGCGGCCACGTCTGGAAACGCCTGCGCCTCCTGTGAGGTCATCTTATCGGCGGGAAGACGCGACTGAAAGGCCGCCCCTTCCAGACCCGTGGGATCCTCTTCGCCATCGCTGCCAACACCGGCGTCCGGATCAGCCGCTGAGGCACTGCCACCGCCGCCGCCACCAGCGGTGGACTCTTGAGACCCGGAATGACCGCCACTACCGCCGCCAGTGTTGTTGTTTTGGTGATGCGAACGACTGGAGGTCTTCATCTGATTCTCATCGTCCGATGGCATGTCTTCATCGGCTGACATCACTAACTGTCTTCAGATCACTCGCTGTCTGCGAATCAGTTACTCTGGCGGTCAGTATTTGACGTAAAATCGCCGATTGTTTTAGTTAAGCGGATCCGGTGTTTGTTGGTCAGGGAACTGGTGCAACACGTGTGTCCTCGAGATTGAGTGTCCTCTACTGTGCCTCTACTGTAGATGTGTTGATCGCCAACAACTCGTGGCCAACAATCGGATCCCAAAAACAAGAGACAATTCAAAGACAATTAACGGCCAGAAGAGAGCAAAACACAAAACCACTCATTCATTGAATGGCTTTTAAATTATACTAAAAGTCGTGTATAAAGTATAGCGAGTTTTAGGCCTATTTCATAGCTATTCAAAGCGTATAAATTCTGCGCTAAAACTATACTATAAAAAGGTATCAAAACATCGGCCGTTAAATACCAGTTATAGTGAATACACGCGTTGTGTGTAGTGTTCGGCCATTTATTCCAGATTGCGGGCATTTGCCATTATTGCGGGCACAATGCCCGTCATTTCTGGCCATATAAAATGCGTGGCCAAAGTGGGCATATGGCCCGGTTTTTTGGCGTTTATGC